ATGTTAAGGATTTATTGCATGGCACACAGTAAGTGCTCGTTAAATTTCAGTTATTAGTAGCTGTGAGTTACTGTAACAAACACATATTCAAAGCAAGGTGCATGGTGATCCACAGAAGGAAACATCAGCTCTGCTTCAGAGAGAGTCAAAGATGTCCTCCCAGAGGAGAGCCTTAGATGAGTCTTCACAGAGTTTATCAGAATGACAAAGGGTGGGAGAAGGGTATTTTAGGCGTGTGTAAAAGTAGGAAGGTTTGAAGTAGCATGGATATTTGGGAAACCTTCACAGAGTTTTTGGTTATAAACATAGGGTAGGGCTTGCAAGGAGGAGCAGCAGGAGATGTGGCTGGAAGAGGTGGGCAGGGGCTCTGTGACTCTGGGTTAGACTCTGTGCTAAGCACTTTATGTATACAAGTTCATTTCATCGCCACCAGCAACATCCTTAAAACCTCTCTGAATTCACCTAGACTCTCCCTCACTTAGTCCTCTCCAACCACAGTGGTGCTTTCCTTTTAAGTGGACATGCATGCTCGTCCCTAAGGACTGGACACTACCTACTCTCTCCTCCTGGACTGCTTTTCCTTCAGATATCTACCTGACCGACTCCTTCACCCACTTCACGTCTCTGACCTTCTCGGTGAGACCCACCCCGCTGACCTCCCATTTAACACTGTAACACGCTCTCCGTATTTTCCCCCATCCTGATCTTATTTACTCCCCGACACAAAGTATTTCCCATCTTCCAACGTATAATGTAATTTACTTACTTATTATGTTACTGTGCTACCCCTATTAGAATATAAGATTTCTGAGTTTATTACATCCAATAAAGTTAAATTTGATGTTTCATTTTAATTGGAAAGAAAGAAGAAAGGAAGAAGGAAGGAAACTTCATTTATAGCCAACTAAACTCATAGCCTTTCTATGAGACTGTCGTTAGGAAATATGTCACGGGACTGACTCAAACAAATCTCCTTGGGTTGGGGTCCCAGGTGGGTCACATTTATCCTGAATTCATAAAAGAGCAGTAACGCTATCATGAGCCTTCAAGACAAAAACAGCTTATAGAACCAAAATTTTAAATCCATCCCACTGGATTGCATGCTGATGTGTCCCAAGTACCTAGAACATTTTCTGGCACATATGATATTGAGATCGGTACGAATGTATAGCAGATGCTGAGATTAAATCCATGTTTATTTGACTCCAGAGTTTGTTCCCAACTTTTACACTATACTGTCTTTTATTATCAATAAGACATAAAATTCTAAGAAATGTTTGTTGTTGCCAGTATGGTAGTTAGGTCATTTTAATGTTTACTTTCATTTCATTCAAAGATTCCTCTAGGGCTTACTCTCTGACTGTCCTCCAGGAATGGTGAGAGCATTCAGATTTAACGATAACAAAACACTGTTGAAACTTCAGTACTGAAGAGCCCGATTTAGAGTCAGACAGACAGACTGTAAGCCAGGCTTGAACTACACACTCCACTACACACTAACAATATAAACCCGGGCATGTTGCTTCAGCTCTCTGTGTCCCAGTTTCCCTCTCCTAAAATACGGGAATAATGATGCCAACTTCACAAGCTTGTTGCATCTAATTTAATTAAAAGATAATGCCTGGAGAGCACTTAGCACACTATCCGGGTTACAGAAAATATTCAATAAATGGCAGAAAGTGTTATGATTATGATATCATTATGCTATTAAGTCCAGGGAGTATTTGCCAGACACCAAATTATAAGAGCTTCTTGGAAGACGTGCTAAGTGTCTGCAGGCCACGGTGGGGGCAAATAACAGCTGGAGAAGCAGAGTGTCAAGAGATGAGTTTAAGGGAGACAAGAGCCGGGAGATGTCGGCCACGAAGGGGAGTTTGCTATTTATTCTAAGTGCAAAAAGCCAGTGAAATGTTTGAAGCAGGAGAGTGAGAATGGGGAAATGGGTGAGAAAGGAAGTGGAGGACCAATTAGGAGGCTGCTGCAGAAGTCCCAGGGAGAGACCAGGGAAGGTGGAACTAAGTTTGCAGCATCACGGAGACAGACGGAAGTAGAGGAATTTCAGCGCTCGCTTCGGCAGCACATACACTAAAATTGGAACAATACAGAGAAAATTAGCATGGCCCCTGCATAAGGATGACACGCAAATTCGTGAAGCGTTCCATATTTTTGAGACCTAGTCTCTTGGAGAGTAGAGTAGAATAATCCACTTCTTTTTTTTTTTTTTGCAGTCCCTATTCATAGGGTTAAAAAAATTCAGATTGCCTTAAAAAACAAAGTAGAGGAATTGGAAATGTTATTTTGGAGGCAGAATCTACCATTCCTGCTGACATGAAGGGCAAGAGAGAGAAAAGAACCAAGGGAAAGAGTGAGCATTTGCCTTGGGCAAACACATGCAGAAGATTGGGAGAGAAAGAGGTATTAACATAGAAGAGTGAGTGATGAGCCGCGCTTCTGCGGCATCCGATGTTACTCAGGGTGGAAAGTCTTTATTCTTAAACCCAAATACACATTCTTGAAAGACTATAGAAATGTAACTCATCCAAAGAACAAATCTTTTGGCAATTCAAATGAAAAAAAGTGGGTGTATTGAGATTTTTGTAAAGTTTTGTTTAAGGCAATGTGGAAGAAAATAAATGTTAGTCTGTTTACGTTCTAAAAGCACTGTTTTAAGAAAGCATAAATGACCTAGTATTTCATTCTCCACATGGTAATTTATTAAGAGTCTTTTTCTAAAATGAAAACCTGATTATATTATGCCACGGCTTAAAGTCCTTCATTAGCTCTCTTTGGCCTGCAGTGAAGTCCGAGCTTCTATACGCATCAGAGAAGACCCCTGAGAAACACTCTCCAGCCTCACTGCCTGCTCCTTTTCTGACCTGAATGTCTTCTCCTCCATCGCCTGTCTTGAAAGCTCCCAATCATTTCAACTCTGATCCAGGGCCATTGTCCCAGGAAGGCTCTCCCAGCCCCTAGGAGGAAGCCAACACTCCCACCTTTGCCCCTCGAATGCCTCCTCCTACCTGTATAACAGCCCCTGTGACAACTGAATGGCATGTTTGTGGTCCTACCAGACAGTGACCTTCACAGAGCAAAGACTGTATCCTACGTTATTTTAATAACATCACCAACTAACATATTAGCTGCTATCTTAAGCCCTCTGTAAATTTTAAACAGAACAACTTTTAAAGTATAAACTGGCATGTAACTTCGTCCTTTATAATAAGGAAAGAACTAGAAAACAGGAAATTGTGGCTGTAAGTGATTTTATGTTTTCCCAGCATTCAGCAGGTCTGAGCCTGCTTCTCTTCCTCATGTTTTATAAAACAGCAGATAATAATGCAAAGAGTATATATTGGTGTATCCCCTGGGTGAGGGGTTGGGGAGAGACAGAGGGACAGGAAATGTCTGTTTATCCTGATTTTCAGAATATTGCTAATGTAAAGGTGTTCCCTACATAGTCACTTTGAAAACCAATAATTTTTATCTGTGTTTTTCTATGTAACTTCACGTTCTTGAAATCATGCAACGTGGATTAATCTGCAACGTGTGAGGCCGAGGAGAATACAGAGACGTGTAAGATACAGCCCTTGTCTTCGTGCATTTACAAACTTCTCCATGTTATAATATACAAACAGTTCATTTCAAATTCTTGAAGAAGGAAAATGAAAGGCACATCTAAAGTAGCTTGCTTTCCTCAAAGAGCTGTGATTAAAAAGACTTAAGTAGGAGGCAGTGATTCACATGAAAGTTGATCCTCAAAATAAACTTCTGTTTACATAGGCTGATTAAACAAACACTTCTCAAAAAAAAAGGAACAAAACAAAAATTATTGATTTGCAACAGCCCTAGCAAACACAATCACAGAAGCAAAGTGCAGTTCAGAGAAAAACGATGTGGATTGAAAAATCTCAAAACAGTGAATAAACTAAGTGAAGAACCAAGTCATTCTTTAAAAATCACAATATTAGATATTATTTACTTCATTCAATATTAATGTTCAGCTAGAAGAACAAATTGAATTTAGTAACAGACATAAGAAATTGTTATGATCAGAGAGTTATTCTTAACAATCTATTAAAAATAAGTGTTAGATTTTCATTTTATTTTGTTCACAATCTCTGGGATAAGGGATAAACGTTCCTTCAAAAAAGGGCTTAGAAACATTTGCATTTAACTGCCATTTAGTTATAATCTGGCAAATATTAGTTTAGTACTAACTGACCCTCATGAAAAAAAACTAACTGACCCTCATGACCCCCATATAGCCCCCAACTGTAATCCAATAACTCAGGCTCCAAATATTGAAAACAGAAAGTTAAATGAATTTGGCCTTCAAAAAGATTGTTTCAATAAAATAAGCTTTACAAGTTTTCACATTGCTTTTCTATCTGGCTTGCTGGGACTGTCTGCAGGCC